AGTTCATTTGAATGGCTTTTGACTTGAATTCAGACTGGAGGTCTTGTGTTGGTCTTACGTGGTCTTGTGAAGGGCTTAACACTGGTGACATGACACGGCATATGTGACTGTGACATGACATGGCACATGACGTACTCATTACATGGATGTCATATGCATTCCAACACAACAGTGGCTTTTATTATGCATGTACCCGTATGACCTGCCAGCAGATATGTGCATGTACAAACTACTTGTGACTGAGGTACCATTGCAGTGCTGGTCTATGTTCTTGCCTGAATCTCTGCAACAACCAAGTATGGAACTAGTGCCTCAAATTCCTTTACGCTTGAAGCTGCTCGGAAAATGTTCACCACAGAATTTGTCCATTTGCATTTACACTTCATGCATGACCATTTTTCAAATAGAGTTTTCAGGTTTTTATTGAGGAAAAGATGATCACAAATACGAGAAAATTAGCTAAGCATGAATGTAAAGATGGAAACCATGTAAAGTTGTTTTGTCTACCACAAGTGAAATTTGTCTTGCTAATCTATATATAAGATAGTTGAAATAGAAAACTGAAGGAGACATTTGTCCTTGAAAAGCTGCAGTAAAATACCTCTAAGTGATTGCCATTACAAAGACAAAAAAAAACAACTTCAAGATCTATGAAACATGGACCACTGCAACATATCCTCATGTACTGGAGCAGCAAACTAACCCATTGGCTTCCGATTCATCAACAGACACCGAGCCGAGGTTAAGTTGAGCCCTCTCCGCCTTGCTGATGAGAGGAAGAAGATTGATGGCAACACCTCCCTGTGACTCCTCAGCCTCTAGACCATACAGCTCCTTCATCGGCAAGCTGTAGTCCCTGCAACGTGAGTGGTCACAGTTTATTGTTAGCTCTAAACCAGGAGAAATGCAAACAGCATCTGGCAAATGTTGTGTATTACCTGGATATGAGCAATTATGACAGGTGGATGAAGCAGGAAACTATGTATGTGTTGCCAAGGCTTGTATTTCACAGACCAGTGTGACAAAATCCACTGACCACTGCATTTAGTAGTGATCTCATTTTCAGTTACGTTGGATTTTGTGACACAGCAGGGTGCTCGAAGAAAGCTGGAAATTAACGCAGTTTCACACAAAGTGGATAACAACAAAGAATTCTGAGTACATCTCTCAGCACAGCTGAGCACCTCTACGTACCGCACCGCTTTCTGAGTACTTTTCAAGCAAAATGAGAACTATCTGGAATATGCAGTTTTCTTATTTCACTCAACAGTGCCTCAGTCATGGCTTTTAAGAAGCAAAATTACACCGTAACATTCTGTCCGTAAGTGCGGACAACACAATATTCATCAGTTTTTCTGAAAACTACTTCCATCTGAACTAAATTGATAACCCCCATTGGACAATTTCTATTTCCCATTTCTATTCTTTGGCAAAAGTGATGCTTACCCTGAGACACGATCGGCTTCAATGTCCACAATGAAATCATCCTGAAAGTCATTCATAACGGTCTCGCCAATCAGTTGCTGTCAAGGAAACAAGTTTATGCAAAGTCATTCTCCAAATGCCATTAGCTGTTGTTATAGAGTACCGAAATGAATACGTCACATCCACAATTACACGGGCAAAAGGTATTAGCACGAGAACCAACATGCGTTCGTTCTCCTGTTGTTTGCACCACATTTTCTGGTTCAAAATGACGTCATACTTTAGTACTCTATCATTGAGTACAAAAAAGTTTGGGTTACTTTTTCAAAAAAAAAAAAAAAAGCTGAAAAAGTTTTTGTTTTACTGAAGGATAATTTATTAATTACTTCTCTTATTCTAATCTCTTTTGTTCAGTCTTTTGTACTTAACGTAAAAGAGTTGAAACTTTTTTTGCAGAATTCCTTACGAAAATTCTGTGGTCAAGGCACATAATACTTATGAAGTGTACTAAAAAATAACCATCAAACTTGAGATAAAAAAATTACAGAGTCAAGTTGCCCTCAGCGCATGCTTGAAATTCTTGTATAGCTGTTTAAAGACATGTCATACAAGAGATGACTAGTTCTCTACCTTCCAGGAGTGTTTTTCTTTAATAATGGACCTGCAGGTGACTGTTAATGGTCAACCTACTTCTACTTTAGGGTCCATCTGTTGCTGTTCCATGATATTGGCCAACTCGTCAAAGAACAGCGCCGAAGCCTCTGGCATGCTGTTGCTGCTGTTTCTGACTAGCGTCAGTAGCGACTCCACCTGCCATGGAAACATAACACCTTGAATATTTAACAGTCAAATTTGTGAACTGCTCTGAGAGTTGAGGGCACCTTTACCCTGAAATGACCACAACTTTCATATGCCTTGGACAAAGGAATGGGACCTTATACCCTGAGGTTTCAGAGAAACGAAAAAAAAAACCAGTTTACATCTGATGTTACTGAAGGGAAGAGAGGTGCAAACACTGTCATTCTATTTTTAAATTACCTTATGAAATATCATTTCATAGGGGATGCATTTCATATCCAGTAAGAGCAGTGTCAACCTTTAACCCTAACCCCTAGGCATCACTGAAATCATGCATACGCCTGTTGGATTCAGAATGGTTGGGATTAATGTATGGCCAAAGTGTCATTATGTAAACACTAGAATGTGAACTATTTCCAATCATTCGAATATGCTCTGGTCAAGTGATATTGATTAAATTCTCTTACACTGCTGTATGTCTCCTTGGAGATCTCCCTCTCTTGACGAAATGCCATGTTGCTGACGATCCTGAGCGAACCGATCACGCCGATGCACTTGTACTTGGGGCTATTGCTGGACAGCTGTTTCCTGATGACGATATGAAGCTCGTCCTATCAACAGAGAAACAAACTCAGAAGTGTTACTCCTACATCCCAAACTACACATTCTGTGAAAGCTAAACACGTGTACAGTTGCCATACTAAAAGCAGGGCCACCAGAACACTAGTACATAATTTCTCAATGTTTGGACAATTTTAAACCTGCTTTACTTCACTTTATGACTGGCATTCTCACCAACAAATCCAACCTGTGACCAAGTTGTATTATCAAGGTATCATGAGTCAAGGCCAGCCAAATCACCGGTCATCTGATCTTTAGTCAAGGCACAGGCCATCCATATGGACTGTTAAAAACATTCTTTTGCCACGGTACATTTCTTCTTCCAGTTCAAAACTTTTGAGTTGACTGTAATTTGGTTCTTCTGACTTTAAACATGACTGTGATTTGACTTTGGATTTAACTGTGATTTGACTTTGAAATGACTGTGATTTGACTTTGGACTTGACTGCGATATGACTTTGGACTTGGCTGTGATTTGACTTTTGACCGAAATGCAATTTGAAAAATGACCAACCTGTTACTAACGAGGTAACAATTGAGGTTGAGAAACTGAATAAATTCTTGACTGACCTGTATGTTGGCGCTTTCGTGACTGTTTCTAAATGCAAGTACACTGAGCACAGAGAACAGTTTGCGAATCTGGGGCAGAGACAAGTTGCTCAAGTAGTCCAGTACTCCCTGGAAAAGGAAACAGGTCAAGATTGAACCAATATGATCAATTTTGCCAAATGGTTTGAAGGCAGGTCTAATGATGACAAGTACGTAAGGCTTGGTGGTGGCAAGTTCAGGATTTAGAAATGGGATGAAAGTAACACAGCTCATGGGAGTTGAAAACGTATTTTGTTTCAAAGGTGAAAAGCCAAGAAATTCATGGTTCAATGAATCAGTTGTCTTCAGCTATCAAACTGACTAAACACGGGTTCTATTTGATGTTCGTTTGCTTAAAACCAACTTAAATTTTCTTGTTACGACTTAATCTTCTCAATAATATTATGATGTAAATTTAACATCAATATCCTTAGCATTTTTGACAGAAGTCTTACATATCCATCAAATTCTACCACTATTACTTGAACTCTGTAACTTCCAAGGGGCATGTTGCCCATATAAGATAATATTGCCTTAAAGATGGGCCTTCCTATATCTGCCAAAATCCTCCAAAATCTGCCTCTAGACTACCACAGATATGGTAAGATCTACGGTACCTTTATGGAGATGCCAAAGCGTGCTACATCACTAGCATGGTGTTTTACAAGACTGAGTAAGACGTCAAGCCCTGCCTCAATCTCTCCTTCAAAGCCGCTGCCGATGTGCGCTACCAATGAACGAATTACTTCCTGAGTGATCACGCCAAGCACAAAATTTAAAAAAAAAAATTACTTCAAAGAAGCAGTTCTGCAAGGTAAGTGGTACACAAAGTGACTGAGAATCTTATCCAAGAGCTGAAACTTTTTGTTTTCAAGTCATCTGAAAATGTATTTGGTTTCTCCAAGGCATGCCGTTTGCTTCTCTAAAACTACACGCACAGTGTGTGGTAATTCAAGTTAAGTGTTGCATATGCAGGTACTGCAGAACGACTACAGTATGACTATCATGCACAATAGAAAGGCCTTCCACCGCATGTGAATTTCATTTACCATTTCATTGGTTTACTCCTGTACTATTAAGATTTAGTTTGTTGGTCAATACTTGAGAGGGTGGCTTTTTTTTTGGCAAGCAACTGTGACCTTTCAAGATCATGGATGATTGGAAACATTACAATAATTAAGTATTTCTGGTAATGTGGCCAAGGAATTTTGAAAAGCACCCAAGGCACTTAGCTTGCAAGCCTTAAGAAACCTATATAGTGGTGATGAGAAGCAGTCACAGTTTACAATGTTGACAGGAAAACTGGCAGAAAATTATTAGGGGTAAAACCATGAAATTAGTTGTGTCAGGTAGAGACTAAAAACCCACTGCTCACGTGGACTGGGCTGGAAATCAAACCCCGGCCGCAGGGGTGAAAGGTAAGGAAGGAACTCACCCCCAATCAAGGCAGCAGGACCACGAAAAACCTAGACTGACCTGTTTGCAGTACATGTCAAACGCCAGGAAGGCCTGCCTGTAGATGCAGCAGGCAAAGAGACTGACAGCTGGCTCTGGTGATCTCAGTAAGACCTCAGCCAGAGAGAGAATGGATGGAAAGTACTCCCGGATGACCTGCCGGAAAGTGGCGTATGGTTAATAGGTTTCAAATTCTTCTTTACAAAACTACAAAGTACATGTTATTATCAAAATGTCATCCGCCTTGGACTAGCATTTCCATGAGATAATATCAGTTTAATTAAAGCTACTGCTGCGACTAAGGCCGTGTCGGAAACAGGCTTCCAGAGCTACAGCTAGGTCAATTGTCTGCGTGTCTCCACGCATTTCCAATGGTGTGAAGACCAAGACCTAGCTCTAGACAAGAGATTCGGATGCAGCCTAATTTAGCTTCAAGCATAAAAATTTAGTGGGGAGAATGCTCAGTACATAAGTATAATTCTGTTGACTCTTGTCGTGGCTGGTAAGTTGGGACTCTGGGACTGTTTAGTCTCATAAGGTCCTTTACATTATAACCTCTCAACTTGGGTTGAAGTCAACCCAGGGCGAACACATGACCGACCTTGGTTGAAATTTGATTTTTCAACTCTGTGTTCAACTCAGCATTGTTTAACACTTGTTTTGTGCAAACCAAGCTCATGGGGGGGGGTTCAACCCAGAATGAACGTGAAAAATGTTCAACTGGGTTGAAAAATCTCAACCTGGGTCCAGAATAGGGTTAAGTTCAACCCAGGTTGAAATCCATCTTAGGGTTGACGCAAGGTTGAGCATTTTCAAGTGTGAATTGTCGCAAGTTTTCAACCCCCGAGACTTGTCTAGTGTGAATAGGCATATGCAGGATAGTTGACCTGTTGGATCTTGACACACTTTAATGGCAGACTCCTCACTTTGTGAGGTGTTGTGTGTCGCTGCATTCAGCTGAGATTCTGGTCAGCTTACCCCTGATGCTTGGGGTTGCTGAGGCATTTCAAGTCAACAGTGTGGGAAGATGGTAACCATGGTAACTGAAGGAACAAATTTTTGGCATTTAGCATTTTCTGTTCTATTTGTGATAAATGTTGAATAAAATACAGGATTTGAAATTTGAAGTAACTACCTAACCAGTGCTGAGCGGACCCTGGCTGAAATGTCAACGTGATAAGGAAATTAAATCTGAAATAAAAAACAACAGATAAACGCTCACTTGTGCGTGAGAGCTGAATGCGGTAATGAGCAGCTCCTCCCTGAAGTGACCGGAGCGAACCTTTCTGCGGAACACGCTCTCTACAGTTTTCTTTCGATTTGCGGCGACTGCATGGGCGATCAGGAGGATGAAGATGTCAACAACCTGGGGGGGGGGAAGACAAAACCATCTCAGACAAGAAAAAGACTGGACACAGACGTCACGATCAACTAGCGACATGATTATTGTATATTTAAATAGTTTGATAAACAGTGATATCCAAGGATATTTCTTGTTTTCCCAGCCAAATTCATTCTTTACCACAGATCTTCTTCCTTTTGATGCAAGTCACTGAAAAACACATTAATTCATCAGCTGACGAATTGAAGATTTTCTGTTTTTATTAAAATTAATTCAAAATCAAATAACAAAACCAAATTAGTGTTTTTCAGCCTTCTCTCCACATTCAAAGATATGCTATAATGCATATACATCACCTTGTGTTCACTGGCAGCATTTACGTTCTCGATTGCCTGCAATGTTGGAAAAAAATCATGGATGAAAGTGATATGAGAGCAAACAAGTGTCCACGAATTGCAACAGTTTACATAACAGGTGCGAAATTGTGTGCATGTTTAACTCCTAAATGAGTTGTGATCGAAAGTTCATGTACCTTTGAAAGTGTTTCATTCCAATTTATACAACTTTATTCACAGTAACCATTTCTCTTCTAGAGGGGATCAATCAGTCTATCTGCTGTACTTTCAAACTTTATTTTCAGGCTCATGCAAGTAAAGTAGACGTGTTGGCTAATCAGGTAAAGGAAAACAATGTTCGCCAAGAATCGGCACAGTCTTAGAAATGGTAATTTGGCACTGTCAGTCCAAGAGCATGTAAGCTTTCAATCCCGACTGCATGAATACAGAGATGCCCATCTCTTATCTGCAAGAAATACACAGGTTCCTTTATTCCACAAATGCATCAGAAAGAAACAAACTGTTGTTTAAAGCTCACTTCTCTCTGGCAGTACTCACTGGTTCACTAACCTACATGAAATCTCCAACGTCAACTTTTCACATGCCCCAGGGGGTTACCTATCAGCTAACGACAAGCAGATTTCTTTTTCACTCTCTCTGAAGGATGTACTGACCTTAACCCAACCGTCGGTCACCACTTTGTGGAAGCGCATGTTGGTTTTGATGGCCTCCAGAATCAGTAGTGCGTTATCATGGTGCTTACTGCCTGACCTAATTATCCCAGAATAAACCACAGGCAAGACACTGCATTAGTGCAAGACTGTACATGACCGGAAACCAGGCCCAGCAGCCAGGCTCTGTCACTGAAAAGCCAGGCCATGCTCAGCTAATGCAAGGGGTTGGGAGCTTTTTACTCCCATTTCTAATAGGCTCTCCACAACCAGTCTATGTTCTGGCTTGACTGACAGTTCCAGTCAGCTTTATTGCAAGTTGCTTCCACACCTAATGGCACTGAGAGATAGCAACCGACTCACCTGACTTAAAATCTGGCTGGACCAAAGATCATATAACGCCGAAGGCGCAAGATGGATAACTCTGCCCAAAAGATGTACTTACCATGGGCGCCATTTGAGCAAGCGATATGCCTGCGCGGTTTACGGTAATGCTTAAGCGCAGGCTCACCAGGTGCGCATGCCTGCTGCGGCACCTGCGCCAGTGTATTAATGTGCATTACGTAGGCGTATCGCTTGCTCAAATGGCGCCTATGCGATTACAACGTTTTACGTGTATTCACGGTGAAGTTCGCCATCTTGCGCCGCTACGCAGCACTATATGATCTTTAGGCTGGACTATCCAGGGGCCTGGTTTTATTGAATGAAATACCTCTCAAGTGGGTAGTTTGAGGCCTTACAAAAAAGAAGATTGCAGGCCCAAAGGCCTTGGCTCTGCCTGGCTCTTCAGTGCTGCAGCCACACTTTTAGTTCCCATCTCCTCTCCATACTGCCAACAACCTTTGGCTTGTAATCAAACTAACTGACTATGGACCGAAACCGCCAACCAATGATTTCTGCAGTGTAAGTCAACATGGAATTTGTAGAATTTTACCTGAAGCTGGGGGTAAATCTCATCATTCTGCATGCCAAGTTGAAACCATTAAAAACTGTCAACTGGCGGCTAATTAAGAGTTAGTATTAATTTTTTTTTCACTCATAGTTTGCCTGAATGACAGAGCAACCTACCCCCTCTTGCCCAATAAACTGCGGCGTGAGGGCGTGGATGTTGCGGCAGGGGGCGGATCTGTCGGGAAGTCTAAATTGCTCCTCAGTTGGCTGATGACCTGAGATCAAGTCAGATCCATAATAGTTACAATACAAGAATGGAACACTAACTAAAACTAATAAATTAAGAGCACTTGGGTTCCCTTCCTTCTTCAATCTTTTCAGTCCTTACCGGCGAAGAGCATGATTGTAGAAAATAGAAAACTCAGGTCTTGGGTTCATTCACCCCTCGTTCTTGTGTCTTCAAACTGATTAACAGCCCTGGCCTCAAAACAGGTGAGAGAAAACTCTCACGTCCAATTCCGGTCTTAAAAAATACATACAGCAAATCTGGAAAACTGTCTCGGTTACATCTGCCCCAAGCGCACGTTCAACAAATGTCCAGGAAGGCTGTTCACAAACAGTCCAAGAAATATTAAGGACTGCAGTTAAGTTATATAATCTCACTGTATTGATGACTTTTGGAAAGACGTATACAATTCCACTCCGGAACATTCCACTCTTTTCAGCATCTCCATGATGACCCCCCCTTTGCAGGAACTGTTTTGCCTAACAAAGGGTGTCTATCAAAAGCATGTTTACGTACGTCAACTGCGTCGGAACTGGTTACTGATTGGAGAATGAACTTGACGATCACTGGCAAGTCTTCCAGATCGGCTGAGAGCAGGGTCTGAAGGGCAGCGTTACGCACCTGTCAAAATGACACAGCGTTAGAAGTCACTTCATTATTAGGAATCTGGGATGTACCATTTTAATTACCAAAAAAAACAGTTTATAACGACTATATATACTGAGTTCACGGAGGAAAACACAATACCACTTGACTGATCTCTTCAAAAATTCGACAAGAAACTCTGATCCTATCTAACAAGTGGTTTAAACTCAATTTTCATTGCTTATCTTACTGAGAACATTGCTGGATTGAAAGAAGCAAATAAAATGAAAAATAATCATCAAACCAAGAGTGCCCTCTTTAACACATGACACTATAACTACTGCCAACTGGCATTTTTAAGTTGAATCTGTTGGGGGCGGGTTGCAATGCATAAAAGCGGTGAGCCCTTGTCCAAATTTACTAGGCAATATCATTCGCCCATTTCAGTTGTGGAATTCTCACAGTTTTTCCCGAGTAGCCCTTCCATCGGGATCAAACTCAAACACGGCCCACGCCATATCTGCTTCAAACTTTTCTAACTGCCCAAATGAGAATGACTGCAAAGTGACCGTTAACTTCTGTGATAATTCTACGATGAAGCGGATATTGCTTAAAAGCAAAAACTTTTTTCTCAAGTCTGCCTTTGATAAAACCAATGCAGGTCATTACCTCTGTCATTAGGTCAGGGGTCAGATTCAGGTTGCTGAGTGCATCCAGGACTGGAATGGTGAGGTCACTGTTGCTGAATAACAACTCTCTGAAATAAAAGCGAAATTGGAGAAGTGGATTCCTTTGTGGATTCCTTTGTTGCGCAAAGAATCCTAAGGACATGTCTCTATGAGAAAAAGTCAATATAGGTTGCAACCATGTCATTCATTTTGTATCAGATTCATGATATGAAATGCAAAAAAAATATCTTGACGACCCCTCACGGACCCCTTTATATCTTGTGTGAAAGAAACTTTGAATTTAGGCTAATTTCGCACACCCAAGTTTTAGATATCCAACACAGTTCACCACCCACACCAACAGGTAATATATTGCGTATGGTTGCCATGTCATGAATTGATGTATCTCCGTGTACAAGGTCCAAGTGTGATATGTCACTGCATGGTGTATCAAACCCAGCAACCAAGAAATGACGTAAAAAGCTCACTTGACGAGGTCACAATATAATTGTTTGAAATGCTTTGGAAAAAAAGTTTGAATTAAGGCCGAAAATCGTCTTTGTTGTTCATGTTACAGCTGCCAGCCAAGGCGAAGTCAACCTCTAACAACAACTTCACCACTTGATTCATCTTGGAAAAATATGACGTCAACAAATGTGAGGATGAGACTAGAGATGTCAACTGACAGAAGAAGTAATGAGACAAGACACTCTGCATTGATGCTGCAGGGTCTGACTTGAGTAACTTGAGTATGAGTTTTACTGAGCACATTGCTTGATGTCCATCGCTTTGCATTTGGGAAAATTATGCACTTTTCGAAAGAATAAAACCAGAGTTTCAGAACCTGGATTGTGAGCTTACTGCAGCTTTGTAGCCACGGCACTGTGCTCAGCATCGCTAACAACCTCGGGAATGCAGGAGATGATTTCTTTCTGAATGGACAGAGAGGACACATCGACCATCTCCAGCATCTTGTCAGTCATCTCCTAAGGAGCAAAGTGTGACCAATCACAAGTCCATTCTAGTCCGATTGGGGTTTATAAAGCAGAGCTCATTAAAGAGCACCTCTCATAAAAACATGTTTTCTCCGATTTAATCTCTTGAGTTCAAATAAATATGGAAGCATCCAAATCGAATGCAGTGTCATTTGTCTTCAGAGCTCAACTACAACAAGCTAAACAGGGCTTTTTTCTGTTCATGACAAGATGCGAATTCTGAAAGTAGATTGTGTCATTCGAAGAAAACAGAGAAAACGAGGGGAACCCACTGTTTGGCATGCACTGGAGTTTATCCACTACAAACACAGGGCGAGGGTTCCCCGTGTTTTCCCCGTTTTCTCCGAATGGCGCAATCCACATTCAGAATCTTGGCATGAACCGAAAAAAGTCCTTGGCTTGTTATAGTTGAGCTCCAAAGACAAATCACACTGTGTTCGATTTGGATGCTTCCATTTGAACAGATAAAAATGTTTTACTTAAAGGTGCTCTTTAAACTGAGCTTGGCTATTTCACAATTATGAGCACCTGAAGTCTAATGATAGTTTGTACACAATGACTAATGACCACTGCATGTACCTATTTCACAAGTGGCTTTTAGAAACTAAATAAAAGATCTATCCAAAGAAAGGTCTCACATGCGGGCAGTTCTTTTTGAATTTGGCAGCAAACACTGTTTTCAATTTATTTTGAAGTCTCCTTGTTACAGAGGAGACAGAGCAATCTTTATGGCTGTTGTTTTACCTTGCTATTGAGCACCCTGTCAAGCCATTGGAACTGGTTCAAGATAAGTTTAGGCAGATTGGCGGCATGGCTATGGTCAAACATGCTTCTGTGGATATTGCAACACAACAAAAATGAAACCGATTTTTGCAACGAACACTGTATCTCATACTGACCCTAACTTATTATCAAACAGACACCGCAAACCGTGACTTGGCTAGAAATGAATAAGAAAAATATTACCTTCTTTTGAAAAAAAAGATATTATAAATACCTTTTAAAGCCTTAAAATCATAAATACGCGATGACGATACCGATTAATGCATGTCATGTCTCCTAATAAACATCACTGAAAACCTTGTAATCAATTAAGATAAATTTGAAAAATGATAGCTTCCAGCATAGGCAGCAAATTCTTGATTTTGAAAAAGTGGATAACGACTGAATAATTCATGTTGGATAATGGAACTTGGAAACAGACTTACTCTTGATCTTCCATAAACTCAGGTAATTTCTCCAAGAGGACAGTGATCACAGCTGACTGGAAAAAGAAAACGACACGTTGGACAATTTTTAAGGCGACTGTCTCTGGTATGTGGAATCTGTGCATGAAGGCGACAGGCATGTTTT